AAGATCGCGGTGTTATAACCTAAGACCATGCCCGTTTGTCGTACTTCCAAAATCTTATATTTTCCAAATAATCGTGATAATGAGACGATGAGGGACCGGCTCAAAGAAGCCTAAAAAGTAGACTAATATTTCGATGTGAATATTTTTGAATTTAAAAACCATCAGAGAAAATTATACAAAGAACAATTCTTACCCAACTAAGTGAGTTTCTCCTCGTGAAATACAATCCAGCACAGCTGCTTACGGGATAAACCCTATATAAATATTATTAACGAAATCCAACTTCCGCGTTGATTAACTTTCCAAAAGTTACACAATTGTAATAATATCTTTCAACGAGCTAATGAAGCTACGAAGCGATCCCTTCAACGGTTGAGATTTAAAAGAAAAAACTGACGTATGGAATATGGAATTTTAATACAATGGTCACGTGACTTAGATTTATTCGTTTTGATACAGAGTAAATTGAAGCGTTTCACTAGACACTGGTCACCTATTTGAAACTGTTGTATTATGTTATAAACAAAGTAATATAAAAAGTTATGAATATATACATTGAATAGTAATTGATAATTAATTTTGAAATGAATTGAGTATATTGCCATTGATAAAATAATTAATAAGTAATTATAAAGACATAATTTAATTATTTGTAAATGTTTATAATATTTTTGAAAACCGTAATAAACAATACATTCCTATTTTGTATGTATAATGATATACAGGGTGATTCAGAACTTATCCAAAACAAATTTTTGAATGTACTCGTCTGAAGAAGCTTTTGTCATGAAAACTAATAAAAGTAAGACATTTTTGACACTTGAAAAACTAACGTAAACACTAGTAACAGCGTTAATACTAAAATCAGATTTCAGTATTTGGAATCGCCTGAGTTTACGCGGAGAGAGAGAGCGCATGACGATAAAAACTACAATAGCCCAGCCATGTAAAGGTTGTAAATACTACAACTTCAATAATTTTTTTCTCGGAAATTATAAGGATTTTACAAAAAATTTTTTTACGAATTGGCTCAATTTTTCATGATGCATCTATTCCTAAACTTTTTTGGATAAATTGTCAATCACCCTGTATATAAAATGTAACAGTTTGGTTTACACCTTATTTCCAATTTTATTGATAATTTGCTATGTTACTGTACAGTTAGTTATGTCACTGTTAATCATATTAAAAGTAAATATAGTCCTACAACTAACTTCCTGTCCAACTTCTGTTAATTAGAAAAGTTTCTAGAATAGTCCCGGAATAGTTGTACGAGTCGATGAAGTTGACATTAATAATAAAAAGATTTAGAAGCCTTTATAAATTGCATTTTTAATTACCTTTCTTCGGGCTTTGTCAGGATCCAGGCTATAGAAATTCGTTCATAAAAATCTCAGGGACCAAGTTAATCAGAAAAGCAGAGCAATCAATGCTTTCGTTTAAGTTTTCAAATAATGTTGAAAAAAGAACACTTTGCTAGTTTATTCTGCACTGGTAGATGAAACAAATTAAAAATATACAGGGTGTCCCACCAGGAATCGCCACTATCGATATCTCGGAAAGTACTGATCCGATAAATCTGAAAATTTGCCAACCTAGCAAAGGCAGTAGGGCCAACACAGATAAAATATTTAGAACTTTATGGCACCTCCGGTTATACCGGAAGTCGATTTATGAGGGAACTGAGTTTGAGGGATAGTACAAAGGTTTTAAGGATAAGGTATTATTTCAAAGTAAATAAAAAACAACTTCCTTGCAACAAAACAAAGTAAGACTAAATTTAATAGATACCTATTATATTATCAAATATCTACATAGGTATTAATAATAATGAAACTATCTCACAATATTGTTTTATTACTTCAAACATTTTTTTCAAGACGTAATGACGCAAATTACTAGTCTAAACAAATTAAAATCACTAGTCAAATATCACATCTTCACAAACAATCGACTTTCTGGCCCAGAGGTCAGACCATGTTTATTATACGTTTTTTAGGTCGCTGAATCCGAATCTGAGGTCCATTTAACCCCATCAGCTCAGGATTTTTCATAACCTACAAAAAAACGATATTTTGAACAATTACACCATATAACCTTAAGACTCAAGCAACCAAATCCTATAAACATTTAACCCAATGACATTCCAACCTAATAAGCCCATGAACCCAAACCCCAATAACCCTATAGCCACATAACCATAGGCAATCTGTATTATTAAAACATCACATAGTTGAGGACTCCCTGAAAACCCAAGTACCCAAACCCAAAAACTTCCATAATCCTATAACCCCATAACCTCATAGTTTTATTGATTAATTTATAGTACGGTACAAATTAATTTTTTTCAATAAAAAAAACTAGATCGACTGTAATACTCGGTTCTTCGGTGAATGAGATCAAAGTACAAGGTAATGAAGTTGTGGTTAGGGAATCGTGGGGTTATGAATTGTATGGTCATGGGGGTTTTGAGGTTTGAGTGAAAAAGGGTTTTTTAAGAAATCCTTAACCACATTAAAGTTTAGGCATAATACATATTGCCTATGATTTATTAGTTATGGGGTTATGGGGTTATGGGGTTATAGGGTTATGGGAATTTTTTGGGTGTAAGTACTTGGGTTTTCAAGGTGTTCTCAGCTATGTGATGTTTTGCAATAACACAGATTGCCTATGATTTATTCCTTTGGTCATGGAGTTTGGGTTCATGGGCTTATTAGGTTGGGATATCATTGGGTTAAATGTTTATGGGATTTGGTTAATTGGATTTAGCGTTGGAAGCTTGAGTCTTAGGGTTATTATGGTTTAATTGTCGAGAATATCAGTTTGAGGTTATGAAAACTCCTGAGCTGATGGGGTTAAATGAAAAATTTCCAGATGCAATTAGTTGTTTGACCTTGAAAATTAAAAAACTTTTGCCTGCGGTGCTTTTTTTTTGACCACTTACTAAAAAAGCCACGCGCCTCGTCTATTCACAATGTCACGAGCCGCCACTGGTTCATAGGAACTTGTTTTAGAATTAACTGAGAAACACTTTTATTTTTTAAAACTTTGAGCAGTACCATTCATTTACAAAATATTTCTCAACTATTTCCAGAGCAACCTGCACGGAACAGAAATGGATATCATCGCGCGGATTGTCAATAAAAACTCGTCTCGCGTTCAGTTGAAAAATCATTCTCTCAGGTCCGATAACTCTTTCTATCCCCGGACGAGATCAACAGTCGAAGATAGACCATTTAATTTAAAACGCTCTTCCTCCGTAGTAGCGTTGCGAACACGTCGACTTCCACTATTTTTATTTAAACTTGATTTATGTGTCGGACAAGCGGTATATAAAACAAACAGCCCCGGCGACAAGAGAGCACTCGGGACCATTATAGCTGATATTAATCACCGTAATAACGCGGTTTCAACACAATGATCTCTGTAATTGCTGCCATTTTCACGCCGCCGATAACTTACGACGTGCCGAGTTTTCACTTGTATCTAGGTTTTTCGTCGGGCGCGGTTTTATCATTTTTTTTTATTTATAGTTCCGGGCGTAAGGGTTAAACGGGCCAACTTCTTCGGCGATGTATGGTTTTTTTAATAAGCGCGTTGATTTAGTGGACGCAGGGGAGTGATTTTTCTTTTTTGGGGAAATTTCAATAATAGGTCGTTCGTTATTTCCCGACATTCGATGTCCGACGGAGAAGAAATATTGTGTTAACAAATTTGCATGTGAATAATTGTTATTTATGAGGCACATATCGGTGGATATGAACAAATATAGGCCAGGAAATATAGAGTTGGACGCGACTTTTTGTTTCGGCAAGCTGAATTTATCATTATAGATGCTAAATATTATGTACAATAACATATTAGTTTCCACAGTCATAAAAATGGGGGGAAGATTGTTTACACAATCTTAATGGTGGTTAATTGTATAATTTTTATGTAAATACACGTTTTTCGCTTATAACTTTTTTCCGTTCATTTCCACGAGAAAACAGTAAAGTACTTTTTTTTCAACTTCAAAAAACCCACAAAACTAGCCCTCGCGCGTCAAAAAATATTGATCACCTCAAAAGTTATAAACAGAAAAAGTTTATTTATGACTTTTGAATTAAACATGTATAAACTGCGTTACTATTACCAGAACGTTTTGGTTTCGCATCATCTCAATCTTTATCACTGTCTAATAACTCACACGAAATCTGGAATCGGTAAGTTGAATAATTTACAAGTTATAAGCCTTATAAACAAATTAACTAATTATTAGTCTGGACGATCCCGAGGATCTTCCACAATCGCACTGATTTTTTTCATGATAGATTTAATAATAATACATTGAAATCTATCATTTTTTTTTAATTTCAAATCTGCAACCTGGAAACTTTTTAGTTATATATTATTACATATTCGGAAAGTTAAAAAAAATCGTCAAGATTCGTTGAAAAAGAACGGAGTTATAGACTGTCAAATATATTATTTTCAAGCGAATTTCGCTTATTTAACGGCAGGACTATGAAATATTATTGTCATTTTCTTCGGACTCGCTATCGTTCGCATCCCCCCACCCTTCCGTCGCGCCACGGCTCGCCAAAAATAAAGCGACCCACTGACCTTTGACAATATTTCTTATGCACTTAACATACTTCCACAAATAAAATATTTTTACCTGGGAAAGTACTCGGGTTGCCGGTTATGACAGTATTTTTTTTGCCGCTACCAACCTAATTTGTTTAATAATAAGCCGTCAACTTTGACAGTCTGTACCTCCGTTGTTTTTCAACGAATCCTGACGATTTTTTTTTAACTTAAAGCTCTTTTCATAAGCTTTCCGTATATGTAATAATATATAACTATATCACGCCCGTGCGTCGTATATTTCATTTTGCAACTAAGGCTAAAAAATAAAAAAAAAATCCAGATTGCAAATTTGAAATTAAAAAAAAAANTTTCTGGACAAAAAAGGTATTGTTATTCCCATACTAAAAGACAATCTCCCGGGGGATGATATGGTAGCGTTATTTATCCAGAGGAACAATCTGTCTGTGAGGATGGCATCCAACATAAAAAGATCCCGCGCCTCTGTTGATCAAGATGACGTTAATAAGTTCTTCGACAACATAAAACCAGCTTTGTTAGAATCTACAGGTGACCATATCTACAATTATGATGAAACCAATATTACAGATGACCCTGGAGCACGAAAAGTCATTGTTCCTAGGAATTGCAAAAGAGTGGAACGGGTTCAGAATTTCTCGAGAACAGCAATCAGTATTATGGTGTGCGGAACTGCGAGTGGTGAACTTTTACCACCCATGGTTGTTTATAAGGCCTATAACCTTTACGAAAATTGGTGTGTCGGTGGACCTACTGGGACGGTCTATAGGAATAGCCCAAGTGGATGGTTCGATGCCAATCTCTTTGAGATCTGGTTTACTAAAATTTTAGTGCCACTCATCTAACGGACTAGGCAACCAGGGAAGAGAGTCATCGTGGTGGGCGATAATCTGGTTAGTCATTTCGCCCCAAACGTCATTAGGATTGCACAGGAAGAGGATATTTATTTAACACCCTTTCCACCAAATGCCACGCACTTGATGCAGCCTTTGGACGTGGCAGTTTTTGCACCAATGAAGAGAACATGGCGAGTGATTCTAGACACGTGGGGAAAAGAGAGCCGTTATCTCGGTTCTATTCCTAAAGAACAATTTCCTCTGCTGCTGAACAGACTGTGGTCACAGATTAAACCCAATGTCAAACAAAATTTAATGTCTGGCTTTAGAGCCACCGGACTCTTCCCATGCAATCCACATGAAGTTTTGAAAAGGTTGCCGAATGCTGCAATCCAACAGGAAGAGGTGGGGCGTCTACTGGACACAAGCCTTATTGAACTATTGAAAGAACACAGGGGTGTTGCTAAAGATCCGTCCACCAAACGCAAGCGTGGGAAAAAGGTTGAAGCTGGCACGAGAATTTTGCCTTCCTCTGTGACTGCAGATCATTTAGGTGACAACCCAGAAAATCCACCTGACGATCAGACACCATCAACATCAGTTTTACAGAAACCTAGAGAGACCAACAAGAGAGAAGAAAGCAAACAGTCTTCAAAAGAAAATGCAACAGAAGCTGCGGCAAGCATCAAGAAAAGGGCTTCCAAGAGAATAAAAGACACAGAAGATCAATGCGGAATTTGTAGAGTGAGGTGGACAAACTACAAAGGGCGTGTGGACTGGCTTCAACGCTGCAAGTGCCACATATTGATTTGTGGAATATGCAACGAAAACAGTAAGGACCCCTATTTTGTATACGCAGTATGCGACGATGATTCAGGAGATGAAGATCCATTCCAGACAGATGAAGATGAGGAATTCGTCCCCTAAAACTTTTTCCGGAAAAGTGTTGGTGATTTAGAGATTTATAGTGATTCAAAGTGCAAAAAAAGAATATTATTTAAGTGTTACAGAACATTTTTAAGTTTGTTAATGTTATTTTCCTGTTTGGAATGAAGCATCTTGTACAATTAAAATTATTTCTTGAAAAAAAAGTTTTAAATTTTTTTTTCAAATTTAAAAAAATATACATATATAAAATTTTTGTCCGAGGATTCCATATCTGGGGTTACTTTGTCACTTTAGCCCTTTATACGCATTTTTAAAGCATTTTTAATAAGGTGACAAAGTAGCCCCAAACACGAGGCTACTTTGTCACCCTATTCCTTATATTTTTTTTAATTCCCTATGGATGCTGGTTTTCTGGCTGCGCATACAAAATGATAACGTCGGTATACTTGATTTTTTTCAGGCCAAAAGTCGGAAAAATACAAGAATTACATAGTAAAATATGTCCAGAAGGTGACAAAGTAGCCCCATTTTACGGTATCGGTTTTAAACAACAAGATCATTGTTCAAACAATGATCATAATGTAAAAATGACCAATTATGGAGTTTTTTAGCTGTATTAAAATAAAACAACGCTCTCCAACAGGAGTTTTTGATTTTGTTTATACTTATAGGTTTTCAAAAAACGCTTCATTTGAGACTTGCTAAATTAAAATCCATTACCAATTTGTTTAAATAATTGCAAAAAACCAGCGAAATTTGAATTTGCTGTAGAAAATTTTTTTCGCATTTTTTCGAGAAATAATTATTATTGACAATGGTACCAATAAACAGTGTTTTAATTTACTTACCTGTTTTAAAATATAATATGTAATTTAATGTTAAAAAATAATACTATTATGCATATTACATCCAAAAACTCGATTCTTATTAAAATAAACTTTATACATAAAAAATATGTCATTTCCTAAATTTTTTTACATAAAAATATTGTTTTTTAAGAAAATTGTTTATTGGTACCATTATCAATAATTAATTCTCGAAAATTTTTTTTTAAAAATTAATAGTTTATAACAAATTAATAGGTAATTAATTATTGCAAAATGGACCATGCAGTTATTATTTTCATGCGCTATCCCAGATTAAAAAAAAAAAAGTTGAAATTGGTTCACAATTACCGGAGATATCGCAAAATTTTCGGGCAGTTAAGATTTGAAGTCTCGGAACGTTTCTGTCTTATTTCCCCCACCACATTCCAGGTATAAAAATGTACCCGAGGACGTTTTTTAAAGAGTTAAAAATTAATATAAAATGCATTTTTTTCGATATCTTTAACCGTTAAGTATTATGAAGTTTAAGGGTTGATTGATTCATTCCCGAAATTTCAAGTCTTAATGTTTATAAATAAACAAGTTATGAATTCAAAAAAAAAAAAACGCTATCTCGGTTAAAAATGGTTCTAGAACATTTTTTTTTAAATTCGTGAAAAATTACCAGGATTACGAATATCAAAGCGGCTTTAAAAAATATTCATTTTTCGCAGTTATTAACGAAAAACCTTATAAACAAATAACATTATCATACGCCCTTTTGAGGAGGTTAGCCTATGAAATTACAATTTCCAATTGCATATCTTGAAAATATAAGTCAAGACGAAATAAATGAGCCCTCATAAGGCCCTTTATTATAACGCTAACAACCGCGTTTTTGCAATTGAAAAAATGATATTTCTAATAAACAAATGCAAAAACTCGTAAACAAATATATTTTTTTACCAAATTTTCAGGGTTTCTTAAGCGTAACAAAATACAACTTTTACTGCAGTTTACAGACGATTTATGCTGTTTTCTTCTATTTATAGCAAATTCATATTTCGCTGGTTTTTTGCAATTATCTTGCAAATTGTTAATGAACTTTAATTTAGCAGGTCTCAAATGTAACGTTTTTTGAAAACCTATAAGTATAAACAAAAACAAAAACTTCTGTTAGACAGCGCTTTTTAATGCAGTTAAAAAATTTCATTTTTGGTAATTTTTACATTATAGTCATTGTTTAAACAATTATTTTGTTGTTTTAATCCGATACTTTTTGGGAAATATTATTTCTTTTTGCCTAAACTAACGATTAAATCAAGTTTCAATCTGAAACGAATTACCTTCTAATTTACATGTATTACAAATTTCATTTATTGGGCTACAATTACCAACATACCGATATGTAACAGATAGCGGTATGCAAAATTATTTTTCCAGCACCTTCTATTTGATATGATTTAGAAAGCGAGCACCGTAAAAAAAGTTTTCCGTTTTTCTCAAAAATTTTGTTATGCAAAAGGCACATTTCATATGGTTGGAAAGAGAATAAAAAAAAAATCAAAGCGCGCAAAAAATTTATAATTGTAGGACAGTATAAAGAAAATATTATCCCATTTTAAAATGAGTAACCGAATTACAGCTCGGGGTCAATCAAACAGACTGTATTTAAATAAATCAAAATCTGGTGTTGAACAGATTGATTTTAGTACAATTTGCCGAAAATTAATGAAATTTTCTGTACATAATTTTGATTAATTTCCCCAACAAATTTGATTTTCGATCAAACTCAACAAATACCCTGCTTGCGGTGAGCTCCATCGACGGCAACAAATATCTCGCAATAATTTATTATTTAAACAATGTATCATTTAAATCAAATAAACATACAGTAAGTGTTTATCCCCTATATATTTTAACAGTTCGAATGCTATTAGTTACATTTCGATGCCATGATTAATTAGTTTTTACCACTTAATAAATTTTGTATACGTGAAAAGTACATTAACCACGGTAGATCCACAATTTATACCTTTTCGAGACAACCATAGGGAGTGGCAATTTTCAAAAGTATTGTCTTATTGTTCCTTGTATCTTAAATCGTACCTCTTAATCTAAAATGGTTATCTCGATACGTATATTTAATTGCAATCAAATAAAGTGTAGTTGTTTTGTATAGAAGAAAAAACGAGGTTGAGACTAGGAGCCAGAATCATCAAAATTAATTTTATGATTGTTTATGCAAATTATGAACTTGTATTACTTTTACAACATATTTTGTGCAATAATAATGTTGAGAAACTATTTTAGAAAAGAAAAGCTTTCCTTACCGCGAAAAAATTGAGAACTGTCGATTTTCATAGAATATGTTCGATGTACCCACCATTTGCTTGCACACAAACTTCAGCGCGACGTATAAAATTCGCTCGCACGAGTTGCAACATTGCCACGTCCTCTCGAATCGTATTACAGGCCTCAGCAATACGACGTCGCAGATGGTCGATGTCACGAACTTCCATGGAATACACAACACTTTTCACATATCCTCACAAAAGAAATCTAAAGGAGTGGGGTCCGGGGACCGGGGGGTCGTCTAACTAGGCTGCTGCGGCCTATCCAACGATTGGGAAAAGTAATGTTTAGAAAATCGCAAAACTGTTTACGCTATAGCAACCTATGTTCGCGATGCGGGGGCACGTCGTTCAGGATATTTTGCACGGTACACTTGACAAGCCCTGTGGGCATTTTCGTTTGCTTCGCCATAAATTATGAGCATATCATAATATTAGCGATTGCTAAATAAATGCGCCATTTTCAAAAGAAAACTGGGAAATACGGCTATTAAATATACTCTCGGAAAACAGCACATCAATCACTACAACAATGCATTACAAACTGACTTTCGAATACAGGCCGGCTTCATAAGAAACCTACAAACTACAATGTATTTCAGCAGTTCCAAAACAATTTTAAACAATTTTTTAATTAGCTTTTTTCTTTATGACCTTAAACTTTCGATACAAGTTTGTGACATCAGTTAACTTAGTTTTTCCTACTTTTTCACCCCTTTAAATCTTTGACATAAGTTCATTAACACCCTTTCTGTATATTGCAAAAAAAGTTTAAATGGTGCCCAGATCTTCTTTTTATAAATAAATAGCTGTAGCAAGCTTCGGACCACGAATTGAAAGCAGATAAAATGCTGGAATTCGTCTTTAAATGCTCTATATGATATCGAACAAGAATTGTGAGAGTATGCTTCTTAGTTATTGCAAAAAAAATGTTTACATCATGCCCAGACCCTGGGCCTGGGCATAAATAAAAGATTCGTACCAAGAATTGAAAGCAGGGAAAATTTTGGAATATGTTTTTAGGTGTGATTCCAGAATTTCCTCTTTCAATTCATGGTTCGAAGCTCGCTACAGCTATTTATTTATAAAACGACGGTCTGGGCATTAAATAATTAGTTTTTGCAATATATAAGGGATGTACTCCTAGAATATTTATTTATTTATATTTATTTATAAAGGCTAGTGTTACATACACATAAAAGTGTTTACACGCGTCCTAAAAAAAATAAAACCATACACATAATGATAGCAATCAACTAACTGTTATACAAATATACATAAACAACATATAATTAAAATATTGTCATAAAAATCTTCAAAACTATAAAAGGTATTTTTTATTAAGTATTTTTTATCCCTGATTTAAAATTTTGAATTTGGTGAGGTATTATGTTAAAAAATTGGCCCAATAATTAGTACCGACCCGTGTTTTACTAAGTCTTAGAAATTTATTACATAAGTATGTGCTCTTTCGGGTATTATAAGAGTGAGTCTCACTTCTGATTCCAAAGTTATGTATGTGTTTTTTTGACATAAATAAGACAATGAAGTATATATGCACAGGGTACAGTTAGAATGTTCAATTTAGAAAACTGCTCTCTACAGTCATCTCTAAATCCAAGGTCAGATATGATTCTAACAATTTTTCTCTGAAGAGTAAAAACTTTTTTCATAGAGGGAGCATGACCCCATACTAAAATAGCATATGTTATGATGGAATGGATATAGCCATGATAAACTATCAGCAAGCTTGATATTGAGACTCTTCGTTTGAGACTCCGGAGTAAATAAGTATGTTTTGATATCTTGGAGCAAACATAATTAACATGTTGATCCCATGTCAGTTTAGGGTCAAGATGAACTCCCAAGAATTTTACAC